ACAATCTTGAAATCCGCAGACAAAGATATGCAACTTTGGCCTTAAGAAAATGAACACAGTGTAATAAGCAATTGTAATAGTGACTGACTAAGTAATTTTCATTTTTCTCTATTATTATGGGCTCCGACACAGGATGGATAGTGAGGGGCTCAAAGGAACATTTAGCACCCATTAAAGAGATTTTGAAAAAGCTCTATTGTCTTGCAAAAAAATTAGGGGGGGCAATGCTCACCCCGCCCGCTTTGTGTGAAGGCCCTGATTCCCAGATCCTCTGCGAGCATCGAAATAAGTTTATTATTTTCTTTAATTCTTTAGATCTTGCTAGTATTCTTAAGAAAATACTTTGTTGCACTTATATATAATAAGTTACTATTTTTGTGTATTTTTACTGCGAACTCAAAAATTTTACTACAAATGTGTATAGTTTACAATGTTATACGGCGTTTTTTCAATTAAAAGCAAAAACGTTTACCTTGGAAGTAATTTTCTGGAATATCGTTAGTTTCTTGGCAGCAAAGACTTTCGGCGTATGTTTCCATTGCCTTACATTTACCCCCACAAACGCACCAGTTGGCATTTCCGATTCTCTCTCTATCAGATTCACTCTCAGTAGAATCATCTGATTCTCCATCCAAATCGTTCAGTTCCCAGTCTTCAAGTTTCCGCCTAGGTTCCATATCAAAAGGCTTTAAACGATTTATTTCAGGAACCGCATTATCCTCCGATTCACAGTTTCCATCTGTGCTCTCTTCTGATGACAAGACTTCGTCAATGAATTTTTCAGCCATTTTGCGGTAAAAACGAAATCTTGCAGTTGAAAAATATGTCTGTTCTCTATACTTTTACATAAATCTGTGAATATTATGTGGGTTGAGCAATAAATACAATGGGGTTGAATGATAAAAATACTATTGACTGCGTAAGCAGCGTTCATTCAGTGACTCACTGCGATCTTCTGAACGTGATGATGTCAAAGGCAACAACAACATTATCCTCGTGAGAGTTGAAGATGGCGGCCTATCGCGGAAAAAGACTTTGTGTGGGAAAAAGACTATAGAAACTGGAGTTGCATTGGCATTATCGCAGTTTTTGATGGGAGCATCGTATAAACACATCATATTTCAAATCATGGGACTTGAACCTGGCAAATTTTTAGAAAGATGAGGAATCGCAATGGATGCTAATAGGATAAAAAGAGCAGAGAAGGCTATGACACCCACTGCAAAGAAGAGGAGAAAAGACTTGGAAATTTAAGAAGTATAAGGATATGATCTAATAGATCTAATAAGGATTAAGCAAGGGTCTAACAAAGAATGAGTAAATCACGTTGGTTCAGTAACACTATCTTAGTTTTCTTATTTTACCTTGATTTAACTAGATCATTCTGGTCATCTGCTAAAACACCAGTACAAGGCCCACCTTCTGCACTTACATTTTCTGAATCTTCCTGTCAATCATAAACAGGATAAAACTTAACTCAAGCTCCAAAAGCTCTCTGTAGTTTCCCTTGCTCAAACTGGCACTAGATTTGTCCTTTCTCCTGAATGCTCATTCTTGTTTGCTAAGATAAGCTCAACTTCAGAAATAATATTTGCCATACTCCTATTCTGTTTTACTTTCTCGTTAAAATGCTCCACTCCCTCTATTTTTTTCTAAAGAGAAATGTCAACTGTCTCAAAAACATCAAAAGTTTTCCACATTTTATAGGCCACTATAAGAGCTGCCTTTCTCATGCTCCTAAAAATCTGACAGGAAACCCTGTATGTTATTGCAGCCTGTCACAGTCCATGCTATTAAGTGTTCTTAGATTGAGTTAAATGTTCTTACCTTTCAACCACAGAACCAGTTTTTCATATTTCATTTTTAAAACAGTGAAGGTAAAAATATATATTGCCTAAATATAAATATTTCAATTGGGTAAACCTTGTTAGAATGACAATAAGATTTTCCTAACTACGGTATTAAAGAAAAACAAAATGATTAACATGCAATGTAAAGGCTTTGATTGTCTTTCAATATTTATCACTATTCATCGTTTTTGTATCTACAATTGTCACAACTTTGACACTGAATAAAAGGTTTTGCATGCTATTAGTGGTTTCCAAGAAAAATAGGGACACATCTATTTCTCCCATCCCAATATATAAATGTTGGTATTGTATGAGAGCTAAATGTCCCAGCATATTGAATAAGAAATGGATTGGATTTGGGAAGCTTGCCAGTCATTCCAGAATATCCTCTGGAAAGTGAAAGATTTCTCTGTTGCAATCAAGGTTTGATGAAAATCCCAATTTCTCTTTTCATTTGAGAAGTTATTGGATAGAGGATTCTCTGAACAAATATTTCGACCCTCATTTTTTATTATATTCTTAGAAATATTGTTAATTTTAAGATTGAAGAAATATTATATTTTTCTGGAGAGGTGTGATGAGCAATATCCTGATGACATTAATCGCCGGCAGTCTGCTCCTACTTCCTCTCAAACGACGATTTCAATTTCCATATGCATGCATTGTGTTTATCAACTGATGGCAATTGGAAGCAACATCAATGCAACAACTGATGGCAATTGGAAGCAACATCAATGCAATGACCTTAATCCAAAAAATTGCTCCAATTATATTTAATACTCTGGCGACAATTCAATTGTCACCATTACTAAATGTTTGGAAGGAATTGTTTCTTCTCTTCTGGGAGAATATCGAAAAAATTATGCAATAAAGAGCCCCATATACTGCCGGAAGCCAGAGTTGCTGAAATAGAGCACATATTTTCAAAACTGTCTGGTACAATGCTCTCGTGACAGTTATTACCAGAACAAGTCAAAGAGAAACGAAGGTCCACACTACAAAAAGGACAGAAAGAAAACTATCCGCTGCGACCCCAATTACAAGCACCATTTATTGGGGCACAACTAACAACAGAGCAGCAGCTGTGAGACAAGAGAATGAGCTCAGTAAGAGTTAGCGTTGAATGGCTCTTTGGAGACATCATAAACTATTTTCGTTTGATTGACTTTAAAAGAAATTTAAAGTACAATTAAGTTCTCTTGGCAAAATGTACAGAGTATGCACACTGCTTAAAAACACAAGATGCTGCTTATATGGAAGTATTTTGTTTAAGATCCTCCTAAAATTGAGGACTACTTTGATATTCCTTGAACAATAGATAAAATTTTCACAGACAACGGTTTTTTTCTGACATAATCTAGTTAAATTTTGAAGAATTTTGGCATAGATATGACAGTGAAACTGAATACAGAATATAGAATGAATATTAAAACTTTTGATTAACAACTGTAGATAGCTAAAAATGACACGACACAATAATTATCATTACAAACATTAAAAGCATTGACAGAACTGTTACTCACACAAGGTTCAGCTAGCACTGTCGCGTTATGCATTTCTTGCCCATCCATTTTCCTTAAAGTCCTTCCATTTTCCTTAAAGTCCTTCCATTTTCCAAATAGTACAAGGCGATTCATGCGCACACACAGAACTTATATCTATAGTGACTTGCTTGTTCATGATTAAGCAAATTTTGTTGCAATTCTTAGCTCAAGATGTAAAAGATCTCTTTATTATTATTATTTTTATTATAAAATTATTTCCTGTTGGTGCCATACACAGGTTGAAGAGCTAATTCATACCAACTATTTACATTTCTACAAAATTACAAAATTAGATCATAATCAGAAAAGAGAAATAATAGAAATTTTTTTCTCTTTCGGAAAGTTCTACAGCAACTTGTTGTAGAGATGGGAGCTATTGAGGAAGGAAGTGCCAGTTATATGAAAACCTTGTGCACTCAATTTCACACCCTGAAATGCCAATTGCACGTTTTAATTGCAATGCCTGACCCTGATGAAAACAAATGTTAGGTAATGTGTCACATCCTTACAGATGTTTCGTAAAATCTGGATGGACAGAGATGTCCTCAGGCTTCAAATATTAGCAAGGTGTGATCTTAAAGCTGAACCAATGGAATTCACTACAAATTCGTTGAGAAAAGCTGCCTATCAGCAATATGCACTTTGGGAATATGGGAAACTCGGTTGTCTGAACAGAAGGATATTGCCCTTAATATATTGGATTTAAACCAAACTAAGATCTCTATATGAAAATAAAGAATCCTGTCATTGACACATTTTATCATATAAAGTTCATTTTAATTCATATATTTTGGCATTAAATGAATCCTATTGTTGAAATTATATCTGCAAGTCTCTTGGAGTTGAAGAATTTTGACATTTTGTGTTTCAATATGCTCATTTTCATTTTCTCCTTCACCAAAATGGGTCTGTTACCTTCATCGTTTCACAGTTTTTCCTTGGATTTCAACATTGAAAATGCGCATATGGGACAAATAAAAGAATACAAAGTATAGCTGGCAAAATTTTTGATGATGAGTGGCCAAAACTACAAGATACAAGGCTAGTCTACTTTTTGTCGTGTTCCATTACAAGCAAATCTTTTGTTGGTGGTAAAACCATAGGATCTATTAACTCTTTACTGTCCACAGTTGCCATATGGCAACTAAATAATCATTGGTTGTTCTGTACAGGTAGTCTGTGTTTTAGCTTACCAAATCTTTTTGTGATGTTGCTATGGATATCTCTTTTATTGAATTGAATGTTTTGATTGGTTTGTTTTGTTGTTGGGAGGGAGAAGTGGCGGTTTGAGCAGCGAGAGTTCATCACAGTTTTCAGTGGCTTTCATCGGTTGGAAATTTTATTGCTAAAAGTTTCGCAAATATATTGCTTATCACTGGATAGTCTATTCTCAAAGATCATATTTTGATGTGAAAGACGACATTTATTTATCGACAGGTTGGTTCTTACATTTATTTGCTTCTAACAATTTGGTTGTCATTTGGCAACTATGCAGTCCTGTTTCCTTGTCTTCTCGACAAATTTACAGAAACTCAATGGTGATTTTTGCATTGTTGGACTGTTCCTTGATTTTTAAACTTTATATTTCAATTTCAGTTTATAAGTGATGGAGACAAGATGCAAAGTTAGATACAATCTTGAGGAAGCTTTGCAGTACGTGGTAACACCCGGGTCTGACTCAGAGATTTCCGATCTAGAAGATGATGATGGTGAAGATCTAGATAAAATACAGTTAGAAAGGGAACCATGCCAAGAAGCCTCTGTCATGTCTGATAATTGTGAAATTATCAAGGATGGAATTGAAGATGCAAGCCAAAGTGATGAGGTCAACAGCGGAAAATAAGGAAACAGTAGTGCAGCAACAAAGAAGCACTCTTATCGTTGGAGTAGCCGTAAGCCACCAGTGACAGATGCTACTTTTAGCGGCCCACAGTTTAGCTTACCTCCTGACAATTTTGATCAGCTTACTCCACTATGGTATTTTAACCAGTTCTGTGATGATACCATGACCAATCAGCTGGTAGAGCAAACAAACTTGTATAGTGTCCAAAAGACTGGTACAAATATACTGACCCACAAAAATGAAATTGAGCAGCTAATAGGGATCCAGTTGAAAATGGGCATAGTAAAAATGCCAAAATACAATAGTTATTGGGCAGGTGAGACAAAATACTCTCCTATTGCTGATGTTATGGCGTTAAACAGATACAGAAAGCTAAGACAGTTTCTTCATGCAAATGATAACTCTGAGAAGGACAATCCAGAGAGTAGAGGCTTGTTAGCTGTACAAGATTGATCAAATTCTTCAATCTTTGCGTGAAAATTGCCAAAAAATTGAGCAGGAAGAGTTCCAATCCATCGACGAGCAGATTGTCCCTGCCAAGACAAAGTTTAGTGGGATTAGACAATACAATCCTAAAAAACCCCACAAATGGGGCTTCAAGAATTTTGTGAGAGCAGGTCAGAGTGGCATGATTTATGACTTTTTCTTTTATACTGGAGCTGCTAGTGCTGGAGGTGAAAAAACCTCTGCAAAAAATGTTGTCTTAAAGCTCTGTGAGAATGTCTTGACTGGTTGCAATTATAAAGTTTTTTTGACAATTGGTTTGCAACGTTAGATCTTTGCCTGGTTCTCAAGGAAAGGGGCATTTTAACGACAGCCACTATCAGAAATAATCGTCTTGCTGGTTGTACTCTGAAAAGTGAAAAAGAGATGAAAAAGGATGGAAGAGGCAGCTTTGGGTTCCAAACAGACCAGAATACTGGGATGGTTGTCTTGCGCTGGTTTGACAACAAGTGTGTTACACTTGTGTCAACATACCTCAATGTTGATGAAACAGTAAATGTTAAAAGATGGAATTCATCTAGTAAAACACATGTAGATGTTACCTGCCCAATGATTGTCAAGGCATACAACACATCAATGGGGGGTGTGGACCTGGCAGATATGCTGATAGCATTGTATAGATGCAAGATAAAAACCAAACGATGGTATCTTGTAATTCTTTTTAATGCAGTTGACATTGCAAAAGTGAATGGCTGGTTACTCTACAGAAGATTTTGCTCTCAAATGAAAGTACCTTCAAAAAAACAATTGCCCCCTCTGACTTTCACAGCCTAAATTGCTGAAAGCTTGACAAAAGCAGGAAAGGCAATGACCAAACCATCAGTGGGCAGACCAAAAAGGAGTTCATCCCAAATGTTTGATGAACATCAACCGAAAAAGGGGAGAGCTCCAAAAACTGTCCTTCCAGATCCTGATTCAAGATATGACCAGCTGGGTCACTGGCCTTACTATGATGAGAAAAAAAATAAATGCAGGCTTTGCAAAACGGGCTACAGTCGTGCATACTGTGAAAAATGTAAAGTGTGCTTGTGTCTCACTTCTAATAAAAACTGTTTTCGCGACTTTCACAATTTGTAATAGAGTCAATTTAGAACACTTTAGAACAGTACTATTTAGTGGATTTTAGCTCTGATTTACTGCTTTTGTATGGATGTATGATGTTTATAATGTTCTGTTGATTTTATGAAACATATCTATTTTTGTGTTTTCACCTTTGATGTCCATAGTTGCCATACGGCAACCATTAAAAGACAATAGAATATAATGAAATTTTTGGAAAAAAGAATAATTTTCATTTTTAGATATGCATTTAGAGTGTAAATTACCAGAAGAATAATTTTTTCAAATGAATTTTGAATAATTGGACAGTAAAGGGGCTATCTTCTTAGGATCTTTCTCACTACAAATGTTTCTGGTCAATACAGAAGCAGTGGTTTCCTTGTGACAGTGCAAAATTTTTGACAGCAAGTTTGAAATGTATGTATATTCTTTTTTGACCTTCACAGGCTCGTCATATGGTGTGGCTTTGTCATTTTGCTGTATTTCACCTTGAAAATTCCCTTCCCATGTCTTGTGTAGATGCAAGTTGTGGTCTACTGCAGCTAAAGCCATGCGGCAAACAAAATATATATATTCAAAAGCAATTTTTTGGTGCGTATTTTGTGAGCATCCTATTAAAATTTTTAACTGACCCAGCGTGCCTGAAACTTGTGTACTTTTCCAAGTTGCTAAGAAATTTTGTGTCAAAGACAACAGCAGGCAAGGCTTTGGCTGGCTTTAATTAACTTTCAAGCACCTGCTTGGGCTCTGATCTAGTACTGGACCATGAAGACAGGCTGAGCCAGACCATGTTTGTTCCCCACAAGCAATCCTTCAACTTTTGTGTGTCTCCATTCACAATTTGCCAGGAGTACCAGAAGTGGTTGATATGCTGGGTCTCCATGGCTTGAGTGCTGCTGCTTCCTTATCTTTTGCAGCTTTCTGGAGCATATTACTGAAACTTATAGCCTTATGCCAAACATCCAAACTGTGTTGCAGTTCTTGAAGCCTTAAATACTTTCCTAAAATATGAAATTTATTTCTAGAATTGCTAATAAAATTTCTAAAAGCAAAATTTGGGGCCACAGCTACCAGAATGATAAGAGTATTATTTGGCAAAGATGTTGATGGTTATACATTAGGTAACAGATACCTGTAGTCAAATGAAATAAATCTAAGAGCCAATTTTTCAAATTTACTCAGGTCAGAAAATCAGTTTGATAGGGTTGTAGACAGAAGTAAACAAAATTAAGTTTAGATTGCTGTATGCTGTAATTGAAGAAGTAAAGAAGACCTAGTTGAGTTTGCAACCTTTTTATGGTGCCAGGTTCTACCTAAAATCAAGCTATGTTACTGAACAGTTCTGGTTATTAATGCTAGGGGCACACAAGAGATTTTAGCTGAGCTAAATGACACGAGTAACATTTGCCTTACTTTGTGGCAGTACTTTTGTGTGAATTTTGCCCACGTGCCAAATTTTTAAAAATCAAACCAGTTTGACATTTTTTGTCACTCGTGGCAGTTTGCGCACCGTGTGCGGGGGTCTGAGCATTTTGCTCATGATCTCAGCAATACTACGCGTGCGCTTTCCAAGGAAAACTTTGTAGACACTCTGTTGCATTGAATCTACATAGCCATAACTTTAATTAAATCATTGTTAAGTCATGTTCATCAAATCATGCTCAAGCAAGCCCTTGCAATTTATAATAGAGGATGGGGTTTTTATCACTGCTCTGCCATTCTTGTATCCAAGTTAACACACTTGCCATGCGTTTGGATGCTGCTCTACTTCGTCAATTTCAAATGCCCTTCTAATGCTTGACAAATCCTGTTTATCGATTAAATCATCCCTAGAAAAAATTGCACCAATGTTTTCTCGGATCCCATCCAACACTTTTTCTTTTGATATTCCTTGCCTCAATTTTGCTGCGATTTTTTCTTTCTTTTCTTTGACAGCCAAAGGCACTGCACAGATCTCTGATGACCAAAGTGAGATAAGCAGAACTCAACAATTACGTGTTTTGATGGATCTTCTATTGCTCTCATCGTACAGGTGCAGTTTCTGTCCATTCTATTAGAACCTTAAAGTTGAAACAAATCTTGAGAACCTCAGCTTAAAATTTTGCATTTACGTCGTAAAGGGTATGCTTTACTGAACATTGATATATTTAATGAAAACGTTTAGTGAACACAATATCATTAGAACTGATGATTCCAAAAGCAATTGAATTGGTCACTTTACCTTCTGCCTTTGAATTTCTGCACCTCTTCTCCTTGTCGACTTGCGATTTGAAAACTCCAGAACGATTACACTGGAAGTATTTGACCGTCTGGCCTAGCTTGTTCTTTGCACGTCTGTATGCTCCGAGCTATATCTGTTCCTCTTCTTCCTCTTCTTCTTTTTCGGATTTCCACTCATGGAATTCTTAGGTAAAAATATCAAAATATCAATCTACACACTTCTACAGTACCGTTTTGCTAAAAGAATCGAGTACAGACATTAATGCTGTTATACAATGAAATATTACCGATCAGAAATCCTCAGTTGATATGGGTTGAAGGTAAAAGCATAGACATTCTTGTATAGCACTGACCTAGGAATCGAGATGTGTACCCAACAAAAATTCTCAATGAAGATTGAACAGGAAAGGTAGAATTCAAAAATAGACAACCAGAAAAATGACACAAAAGTGAATACTTTCTTACCTTCGAATGACTGAAACTATTTTATTGTTATTCTGAAAGTGAAGCCATTTTTTTCTGCTAAGTGTGTACAAAGATCTTTTATCAGAAAATGTCCACACTCTAAGCAAAGGCAGGCACCAATCTCAACTGATCTGACTGCTGCTTCACCGTGTTTCCTGTGCACATGTCTTCTAAGGTTACCCCGCCTGTTGGTTTAAAACATTCAAAGTCTACATTCTACTTTGGCTTGGGAATTGCCACTTTTTGATGCTTCTCTTTTACTCATGTGTAAACTTGACTTAATTGCAGCTGCCAATTGATTTGCCATTGGTAGGAAAGACGATTGGTCTGTCGGACTGTCTGAGTTAAATCTGTCTGATGCAAAGAAAGCTGTCAAAAGAAATGCCACATCTACATCTACCTTTGCACCCCCTCCTGCAAAAACCATGAAGTCTGCCAAAGAGAAGGCTGATCTTACACTCGCTGCAGATACAATGCTAATACAAACGTTACAAAGCTTGGAAATAACGAATGAGGAAAAAACTGAAGAAACAGACGGATATAATTGTTTTTGTCAAGGTCTTTTTCCAATTTTAAAAGGACTTGAAAAAATAGATGTGCTAAAATGAAAATACAGCAATTGCTTTTTGAAATAGAATTTGATGATTCGATGTAAGCTTATCCTCATGGAAAAAATACAGTTAATCTCAATTATCTTGTCTTAATTTAGTTTCTTATAACTTAAGTTTGGCAGGAACATTTCAAAAGAACTTTGGAGGGGGTAAAGCTTGTTATCAGTTATTATGTTAATGCAAGCTAACTCAAGCTTTCATTTGAAAGAACACGTTTTAATATAAGCTGTTGTAACAGTAAATCACTCTAGTACTAACACTTGGCTTCTCCACATGCAACTGACACTTGGTGGCTCGTGTGCTATCTCATGTGACTTCTATGCTGCGTGGACCAATCACGAATAGAACTCTAGATTTTATGCATCAGCTTAAGGGAATTTGAAGGTAATTTAAACACAGGTTTTACATATTTGTATCAATAAATTAGGAAAAATGATTGCTTAAGATTGACTATTTGGGATTAGAAAAACAGGAAGGGTTGGTATGAGAAAATATTGCAAAAAATACGAGTCAGGCTCTAATAGCATATACCGAAAAAATCAAGGAAAGGCAAATACGTAAATGATCACGAAAAAGAGATTGATAATTAGTAATAGGAAGAGGGTTCACTATTCAAAGGGATTAAGTAAACAGTGATGATAAAAAGCAATCAAGATGGAATGGAAATAGCATCGTGTGAAAGTATAGATATAACTTTATTGAAAGTTGATCACAAAAGCTGATTTATTTGCATTATTCTTCACCAGGATTTGAAACATGATTAACTGAACCAATTTGCCCAGTAACACTGCCTCCGCCAAATTTAAAACTTTAAATCGGTTTCCTATTTCCTTTGCACTGATTCATAGGTAACATTCCCAAAATGTCTGAGTCTTTTCTCCATTCACATTACTTGAATTTATCTTTTACCTCTTGATCGACATAGTCATAGGGACAGTAATTGTATGGTTCTTCTTGTACTCTATTAGCTATTAAAAATCTGTGAAGAGCCTTCGTTATCGCTTTAACGGTGAAAACTTTGTCTATAATTGTCCTGCGAAAAAAATCTGAACCTCGCAGCTGCAATGCCAAAAGCTGCTCAATTATTGTCTGAGCCCTTGAAAGTCTATAGTTGAAGATTCGTTCTTGGATTGGCAAGTTTTGCCCGGGGTATGGCTTCAAAAGATTTGATTCTAGGACAAAGGCATCATCACTTAGAAACACGTAGGGGGGGGGGTACTTCTTTAAAATTGGTTACCTTCTCGGTGGAGGGAAAGTTTAGAATATTATTATCAATATAGTAGCCAATTCTTCTGTTGTTGTAAACGCTTCAATCGTTTGCCTCCCAGAATCAACGATGTCAACCAGGTTGAATCCATACTTTCCATTACAGACTCCCAAAAAAGCAATGCTGTTTTTAGTAATTAAAGAGGTCCGACC